ATGGTCTGCTATCACAGCAACAGAAAAGTAAATACAAGGTTCTAAAGGGGCAATTCAAAAGCTGCATCTAGGTCACTGACAAGTTTTGTTTAGCATGTGCCACACCTATGGTGAAGATTCAACAAGGCTGGTTGACTAGAACGCTGACTTTATAGATATTATAGAGCTAGAGCCAAGTTATCTTGGGCTACCTTTCATCCCCTTAAGTCATTCACTGTCTACCTCTTCTGTGTCTGATATAACATCCTTTTAACTACCAGGTAAAACGTTTGGAATGTATTGACTTAGCAGACTACTAGCTTCCGTCAACTCCAAAGCTAAGAATGCTATCAAAGAGCACCTGAAAGCTATAGATGAGCTTTTTCCCACTTGCTGTAACCTAGCTACCCAATGTTCCCACCAATATCTGAAAAACACCTTGACTTTTGTGTCTGGCAAGTTTTCTTGAAGCAGAGTTTACTAATAGTCCTGGCTGGACCAGACCTTGCTATGCAACCCAGGCTGGTCCTGAACTTGTGGAGCTCTTCCGTGCCCCTCCCCCTGGAGTGCTGGGATCTGTGACTGCTTCCATGTTAAACATGTTATTCAGGGAACCAGAAAGTGCAGCTGGGCCAGCAATTCATATTTGGCTCAGAACAAATGATCTGTTATTCCCTTTGAGACTTGTGTCTTGTGTGGATAACGTTACAAAGAATATAAATGCAGCCAGATGTGCTCTGTAATCTCAGCATTTGGGAGATTTAGGCAGGAGAATTGAGAGTTTGAAGCTAGTTTGGGCTACGTAACTTTTGTTAAGACCAAAAAAGCTAAAAAAAAATTAATACAAAATTCTTATTGATACAATTCATAGCATGTGCAGAGATGTTAACACAAATTTGTTCTACGAGCAGGTGTGGTGGCACACACCTTTAGTCTAAGTACTTGGGAGGCAGAAGCAGGCAGCCCTATGTGAGTTCAAGGCTAGCCTGGTCTACATAGCGAGTTCCAGGCCAGCTAGGACTACAGACCTTGTCTCGAAAAGACAAAAAAAAGTACAATGAATATATAGCAATAAAAATAAAATAATAAAACAAACTCGACAGATCTCACATAATGAAATCAGGCTCATGGCTCCTTGGGTACTAAGCCCAGTCAAAGTGGCTAAAATCCCACTCGTGCTCATATGACCTCTCCTGAAGGGCAAGGCTCCCTAGCTCCCCAGTTCCTCTCTACTTTCCCAGAAGGGGAGCAGAGTCCACCTGGCTCTGTGACCTAAGAGTTCTACTTCCCTCCCTATCACCTCCCTCCCCAGGGCTCCAATCTCCACCTCTTCCCTTTGTACTCCAGCCTGGCTGGGAGGATTCTACCCGGCTCCCCACCTTTAATCTCTCTGTAATGAGGCAGCCCCTCTATTTCCAGAAATTCAATCACCAAACCCCTTTGCTTCTGAGACACATTTGTCTTGCCCTCTCCCTGGGCCTCCCATGGACAATCCTTCCTCACGTTCTATCTTCTCACACCTTACCTCTTCACCCCTACAGTAGTGTCAATTACTATGAAATTGGTGAACATCACCAACAGTATCTGTACTTGTACCATAGCAAACCAGGAGCGAAGCACTAAGTCCAGAGGTATAAACTCTGTGGTATTTTGTAGAAACAGATCTGTCTGCAAATTCACACTCAAACTTTCCACTTACCCCTATACTTTCTACTTCTGAAAATCTCCTCCATGCTCCTCTTCACTTAGGAATTTAATAAAACCACATCTTTCAAAAGTCTGTGGTTTTACACATGCTCTTCCCTCTGCTAGATGAGTCTTCAGGACCCCGCTGAGCAGAGCAGCCTTTCCCTTCTTCCATTTCTCTGATACTTCATGTACATGTGAATTGATACATGAATCAATCACGTTGTCTTGTCTGTTTCCATGTCTGTCTTTCCTCCCAAGCTGTAGGATCTTTGAGGTTAAGACACAACCATGAGTTAACTTCCTCACACATGAGATTTCCTTAAATTTGACTACCAACTGGGCATGGTGGTACACAACCATAATCCATTCCAGCACTGAGAACATAGAGGCAGGAGGAAACCAGCCATGTATACAGCATGACTGTCTTTAAAAAATAATAAATAAAAGTTGACTAGGTAGCCTCACCAACCAACGAGTCGAAGAATACCAACCAAATAGCCGTTCTGTTACTGGGGTTTAAACTACCCTAGATCCCTAAGTACATCCACAGATCCCAAGGCCCTATGAAAACCTTGCCACCCTACCCATGTCCAAGTCAACTTTGAAACAATGTTCCTTTCACTACTGGCTCTCCTCCTGCCTTCAAATCACCCCATCCAAGAATTTCAAGCAAATTTTTTCCTGTCAAAGCCCTCACTGACTTCCTCCTGAATAATGTCCAAAGCAGCCATAGGACCTGAGAACCCTGATACTTTTTTGTTATGACAATCCACATCACACATTGTTTTTTGACTTCTAAGTCTTTGTTCACAACTACTGCTGTCTGGAATGCCAGGTATCAGATAATCTTCCTAGCACTTCAAAGTCCACCATAAGTGCTGCTCCTTCAACAAACAAAACTGGGTCATCTATGCCATTCTTCAGCCTTCACAGGCATTATCACTCGCTAAGAGTTCTCACCTGCCTGGCTCTGATAACGAAGGCCTAACTAACTCATCCTCCACACGACCCTTCATTCTCACAGCTCAACTTGGTGACCTCTTTTTATTGAAGGCTACCTCATCTGGTTTAAAACTCTTCTTGGGGAGCCTGAGAGACGGCTGAATGGTTAACAGCACAGCACTGGTTGTTCTTCCAGAGGACCCGGGTTCAGTTCCCAGCACCCAAATGGTGGCTAACACTCAACTTTAACTCCAGTGATGCCCTCTTCTGGCCTCCACGGGCACTGCACACATGTGATACACTTACACACATACAGGCAAAATACTCATACATGCAAAATAAAAAATAAAATTTTAAAACTCTTCTTGAACTGGGGGTGTAGCACAGTGGTAGAGTGCTTGTCTACGATGTACAAGGCCCTGGGTTTGAATTCTAGCACTATCAAAAATAAAAATTTCTTTTTGTGAGATTGGGTCTGTGTAGCCCAGGTTGGCCTTGTCTCAGCCTCCAGAGTGCTGGATCTACAGGTATGCTCCACCCACCCAGCTAAACTGCTAAAACTTTTTTTTTGGGGGGGGGTGGTGTTTCAAGACAAGGCCCTGGATGGCCTGGACTCACAGAGATCCACCTGTCTCTGCCTCTGGAATGCTGGGAATAAAGGCATGCCCCACCATGCCTGGCTTGAAAAAACAAAAGTAAAATAAACTCCCAGGCTGGAGAGATGATTCAGTGATTAAGAGCACTGACTGCTCTTGCAGAGGACCAGGGTTTGATTTCTAGCACCCACAGGGCAGCTAACAACAGTTCATAACTCCAGTTCCAAGGGATCCAACACCTTCTTCTGACTCTGCAGTCATAGTACAACACAGGTGCACTTACACACATGCAGGCAATATACTCACATACATAAAATAAAAAATATAATAATAAAACTGAACTCCCAAAGTAGTCAAGAAAGAAGAAACACCTTAAGTGTTCCACCCAATTCTTACCATGAGTCTCAAGGGAGAGGAAAAAAGGATTTCTTGTTATGAGGGAGGGTTGGATATATTGAAAAGATAACCCAACAGATGACATACATTACCAAAATACTGTTCAGCACCTTCTCCATTAGCTTGCGCTAAACTGCATGGCAAACACAGACAAGAAAATTGGAGTTGAAGAACTGGCAGGATGGGCAAGGCTTTTCTGTTGACCCCGGCAAGCACTTTCCACTTCTGGGGTGTCCCCAGAAAAAGCCGACACCTAGCAAGGCCAAGGAGAGACTAGCCTGTAGGGAGGTCTAAACTGAGAGCTGCTAAACAGAACTTAGGAAAGTAAGATGGAGTTGGATTAGTAAGTATTCCATGGTGATACACACCTGCAATCAGTACCAGGGAGCCAAAGGTAGTAGGATTGGTACAAGTTCAAGGCCAGTCAGGGATACACAGCAAGATCCTGTCTAAAAACCAAACAACCGGGCATGGCAGCAAGTACTTGAGAAGCAGAAGCAGGTGGATCTCTGTGAGTTCCAGGCTACGTAGTGAGGCCTTGTCTCCAAAAAAATCAAACGATGGGCTGAGAGATGGTTTGGTAGTTAAGAGCACTGTATGGTTTTAACTACTGGGGTTTTAAGTACCAGGGTTTGGGTCCCTGCACCCACACGGCTAATCAACTATTGCTAACTCCAGTTCCAGGGGATCCAATATTCTCCCTCTGGTCCCCAAGGGCAATGCACAACATGCGTGCACTTACACATAAAAATAAAATTTAGGGCTGGAGAGATGGCTCAGCGGTTAAGAACACTGACTGTTCTTGCAGAAGACCCGGGTTGGAATCCCAGCACCCACATGGCAGCTAACAACTGTCTGTAACTCTAGTTCCAGGGGAACCGACTGCCTCTTCTGTCCTCCGTGGGCACTGATGAAGCTCTCAATCAGCAAAGGCCAGGGAAAGGAGGGAAAGGAGCACAGAGGAAAATTTAGAAGTAATAGGACATGGGCTTGTCAACCTTTTTAGCCCTGTATTGTAGAAGAAATTGAGTATCTGTGGAGAAAGGAAGAACAGGAAGAAGTTGTACCAGTTTTCCAAAATCAGATAACCCATTTATGGAATTAAGCACAGGAAAGCCAATTTGATTCAACATCAATGATTCAGGCTCAAACTGTGGAGAATCACACACAGCTAAATGCCTTACAGTCTCTATAGGTTAAATGCAAGCATCCACATGGTTTTTGTTAAGAACATCAGGGGTTATCACCACTCAAGAGCAATGTAAAATATTGCAATAAAGGATATAAAAAGGATCTCCCTAGAGCTTGAGGATCATAATGAAGGTTCTAGAAAAAAACTGTTTACCTCTAATTCTGGCCCCTTATTAGTGATGGAAAAATTTGGAGAAAGTTGGGTACCTGGAGCAGCCGAAGGACTTCAGGAAGTACCTCTTCAAAATGTGACAAGTTGATGACTTGAATCCGAGAGGACAGCCAGTGCATGGAGGGGCTTTCTCATAAATTCCCAGATCCGACCACGGGCAGACCCTCCTTATTCTCAAGTTCCTACCCTTCTGTAGATAAGGAAAGTTCCTACTCTTCTGTACTTCCTACTCCTAAGATGCTCTCAAACGCCAACCATCTGACCCTTCTCAGGCAGGTTTTGTAGAACTCCCTGGCATGGAAACGTAATTACAATGCTGTCGATTATCTGGTTATTTCACGGGCTCAATATGATCGTGTAGACTCGGAAAGCTACACAGTCAAATTCTGCTGCTGGTTTCTGACGAAGGGGAGAGTTGATGGAGGTGTTGAGGAGGTGAAATACTGATTAGACACAAGGTGACTCACCGCTTCGAGTTTCAGTTTCCCCAGCTGTTCATTTAATAGGAAGGAGGTCGATGAAAGCTTCCTCAATGGATTTTTAAAGGCTTCGTTATTCCTTTCCAGGCTCTCGGAGGAATGTCAGACGTGCTACAGGCATCGTACGGTCGGGAGCGGTGAACATTACCAACCAGGGATAATGGTATTTTAAACGCAGCCATTAAGTATATCCTACGCCTGAACAGGTCTGACCATTATTTGTCACTGCGCTTTCTTAGGATTCTCAAGGGCGCCTAAGATCCCAACAGGGTTCAGAAAGACCCTGTGTGGGCCGCCTGGAGAGCGAAAGCGAGAACCAGGGCAAGCGGGCCTCGCACCGACCCCGGAGACCCAGGGACGGATAGGGCGACCTCGCAGCGCGCGGCTTCCCGGCCAGACCGCTCCGGGGCCGGCGCACGTCGCCTACTTCGTCCCCATCAAGGGAGGGTCTTTCGCACCCGCTTCACAGATGGGGACGCCGGCGCCCGCGCTGAAGCCGCCAGGGCTCGCGGCCCTCCAGCAGGCCGGACTCACCTTGGCGCTGTGCACCGCCTCCTGCGCCCCGCGGAGCTGCAGCCAGATGCGCGCGGGCAGCGGCTCCTCTGCCCCCAGCGCACCGAGCACCGCCAGGCTCACGCCGAACAGAGCCTCGATGCGGCCGCGGCTCCGCTCCAGCAGCGCCGCCTTCTTGGCGGGCGCCGTGAACTCGTCCAGCACCGCCCGAGCCGCCATGGCGGGCGCGGCCTCCGGGGCCCGGGGGCGGCGACGCCCCCTCCGCGTGCCCGGGCTCTCCTCCGGCGGCGTGGGGGGGCGCGCGGCCCCCCCCCCCCCCCCCCCCCCCCCACGTTTCTTTCATGGGCTGGCTCCGGCGGCGTGGGCGTCCAGGCCGCCTCGCCCGCCAGCCCGTCCGCCCGCAGGTCCCGCTACACCATCACGCCACGGCCGCCGCAGCTTAGCGACTGCGGGTAGTAAGTCCCCGCCACCCCGCCGCCGCCGCCGCCGCCACGCATGCGCTCAGCCTTCAGCCTGTCGCCGTCATTGAAGTTCGCCGCGCCCTGAGGAAAGGTGGGTGGGTAGGCCGAGGGCGACGGAAGTCTACGCCACACTCAGTTGCCATGTTGATTAAGGGCGAGCGTCGCCCGGGTGGCCATCTTTGATGAGGGCCCAGACCTTTGTGGTGACCTAAGGGATGGAAATTTCTGGGTTTTTGTTGATAAGCAAATAGTACTTTTTTTTTTTTTTTTTCAGTCTTTTTTGAGACGAGGTCTCCCTGTAGCCGCAGCTATCTAGATTCGCTAATGGAGACCAGGCTAGCCTTGAACTCACAGAGATCCGCCTGCCTCTGCCTCCCGAGTGCTGGGATTAAAGGCGTGCGCTACCACGCCCGGCAGCAAATAGTACTTTTATTTTTCTCCTTTCCCCGTTTCTTTCCTTGCCTCCTTTCCCTTATCTACGTTCAGAAAAAAATTGCAGGAAATTAAGAAAATGGGATTACCAGTGGAGAATTGAAAAGCTAAGTAAACTGCTGGCATAGTACTTAATTAATATTAACTGATTAAATAATTAATTAATGGGCTGGAAAGATGGCTTAGCGGTTAAGAGAACTGTTCTTGCAGAAAAAACCTGGGTTCAAATCCCAGCACCCACATGACAGCTAACCATTGTCCAGCAACTCCAGTTCCAGGGGATCCAAGGGCACCTCTGTCTTCCTCGGTCAGTGCATGACATGGGTGCACTTACATACATGCAGGCAATACACACATACACATAAAATAAAAATAATAAGTAAAATAAAAGTAATTAATTACCTGTAATCCCAGTGGGGCAGGGCCCTGAAGCGGAGGAGAGCTGTCAGTTGGAGGCAAGCCTGAGCTACATAGTGAGCTCCACATCAACCTGAGCTATCAAGTGAGTCCCTGTCTCAAAGGCTGGAGAGACGGCTCAGTGGTTAAGAGCACTGACTGCTCTTGCAGAGGACCCCAGTTGGAGTCCCAGCACCCACATTGTGGCTAACAACCTCTGTAACTCCAGTTCCAGGGGATCTGACCTTTGCAGGCATTGAAGAGCACAGGTGCACTTATACACATGCAGGCAATACACTCACACACAGAAAATAAAATTAATAAGTAAAATATTTTTAAAAAGCAAAATCAGAGGTGTTGTGAGGTGGCTCAGCAGCTAAGAGCGTTTGTTGTATAATCAGTCGTGAAGACCAGAGGAATGGATTCCAGCACCCACATATCAAGCTGGTGTGGGGCCAGGCCTATAACCCCAGCTGGGAGGGAATAGGAAGATCACTGGGTGTGCTGGATAGCTTTAGTGTCAACTTGACATACCTGGGTTGAGGGAGCCTCAATCGGGAAATTGCCTCTATTGGACTGGCCTGTGGCCATGTTTGAGGGGCATCTTCTTGATGAGTGATGTGGGAGGGCCCAGCCCACTGTGGGTGGTGCCACCCTTGGGCAGGTGGGCCTGTGTTGCATAAGAAAGCAGGCTGAGCAGGGGCCAGGGGAGCAAGCCAGTAAGCAGCGTTCCTCCATGGCCTGTGCTCCAGCTCCTGCCTCCAGGTTCCTGCCCTGAGTTCCTACCTTGGGCTCC